GACAAACTTGAACAATGGGCCCTATCCAACAAAATGAATTTTAATGTGGAGAAAAGCGAAGTATTACATTTAGGCAAGAAAAACTAAAGGTATAAGCGAGACCTGGCTCAAAAACAGTAACTGTGAGAGGGACTTTGGAGTCTTAGTCAATGATCACTTGAATATGACCCAGCTGTGTGCAGCAGCAGTCAAAAAAGCTAATACAATCCTGGGTTGTAGAAATCTTGATAGAATCAAGATCACGTGAAGTATTAGTACCGCTTTATAAAACCCTAGTAAGGCCACACCTGGAATACAGCAACCAATTTTGGTCACCATACTACAAAAAAGATGTTGAGACTTTGGAAAAAGTTCAGAGAAGAGCAACTAAGATGTTCAAAGGCCTGGAGACTAAACCATATGAAGAACAACTGCAGGCCAGTCTAGAGAAAAGAAGAATTGGACTGACATGAAAGCAGTCTTCCAGTATTTGAGAGGGTGCCACAAAGAAGAGGAAATCAACTTGTTCTCCAAAGCACCAGAAGGCAGGACAAGAAACCATGGATGGAAGCTCATCAAACAGAGAAGCAATCTGGAATTAGGAGAAACTTCCTAACAGTGAGGCCAATTAACCAATGGAACAGCTTGCCTTCAGAAATCGTAGGCACTCCACACTGGAGGTTTTTAAGAAGAGCCTGGACAGCCACTTGTCTGAAATGGTATAGGTTCTCCTGCTTGAGCAAGGGGCTGGACTAAAAAAACTCCTAGGCCCCTTCCAGCTCCTATTCTATTCTATTCTATTCTATTCTATTCTATTCTATTCTGTTCTGTTCTGTTCTGTTCTGTTCTGTTCTCTTCTCTTCTCTTCTCTTCTCTTCTCTTCTCTTCTCTTCTCTTCTCTTCTATTCCTTTTATCCCTATTCCTATTCCCTGCTCTATATTCTATATTCTATTCTATTCATGTCCTTGGTGCCATCCAAGACTCCCAGTGAAACACCTGGAAGGAGGCTCTCCGGCTTCTACACAGCTGTGGATAACATGTCCTATTTGGGAACCATGGCTGACCCCAACTTCCCAGGATCCACGGCATTCTTAAATTGAACTCTGGAAGATCAAATCTCCTGAAGCGTCTGCTCAGGCATAGCTTGAGCAGCATCTCTCTGGGGTGGAGTGATCGTCCCCTGACTGCTGGAGGCTCCCACTCACCATGGGGCAGATCTTGCTGGTTTGGGCATCAACATGATTTCCACACACTGAGCTCATTGTTCTGATTGCTGGCTTCTAAGTGATCATTGCTGGAGGATGTTCCTTGCACATAATGAGTTTGAGGCTGTGTGTCTTGCCTCAGGCAGTCAGGGCGAAAAAAAAGCACCATGGAAGAGAAGGCCCAAGGGGCATCAGATACTGAGCAGCCAAGGGAGCGCTGCAGGACATGCAGAGGCCTCTCCCAGACTTAAAACATCTGATTCATTCCAGAGAAGGAGGATACTCTGTGGGAGGAGAACACGGCAAGGCTGCCATAGACATGGAGCTCCCCACTTCCATTTCCTCCCCCTCCCCCGGGTGTTTGACAGAACAGCCGCCTCCCCAGAGCGACTTGGCCTTTCTGTTCAGGTGAATTCTCCTCTCCTCGTCTGGGAGCCAAATATTCTCCACCAACACTTAGTTCTTGCTGCCCTCAGATTCAGATTAACAGAATTGGAAGGAACCTGGGAGGTCATCTAGTCCAGCCCCCTGCCCAAGCAGGAGACCCTACACCATTTCTGACAGAGGGCATCCAGTCTCTTCTTGAAAGCTTCCAGTGATGAAGCTCCCACAACTTCTGAAGGCAACTTCTGTTCCATGGGTTGATTGTTCTCAGGGTCAGGGAATTTCTCCTTATTTCCAGGTTGAATAGCTCCTTCTTCAGTTTCCATCCATTATTCCTTGTCTGGCCTTCCGGTGTCTTGGAAAATAGCTTGACCCCCTTCCTCCTCTCTGTGGCAGCCCCTGAAATATTGGAAGATGCTATCCTGTCTCCCCTGGTCCTTCTCTTCACTAGACTAGCCAGGCCCGGTTCCTGAAACCGTTCATCGTATGTTTTAGCCTCCAGTCCCCTAATCATCCTGGTTGCTCTTCTCTGCACTCTAGAAAGAGTGCTGACTTTAGAGTCTCAACCTCTTTTTTATAGTGTGATGACCAAACTGGATGCAGTACTCTAGGTATGGTCTTACTAAGACTTTATAGAGTGATAGTAGTACCTCCCTTGATCTTGATTGTATCCCTCTGTTAATGCAGTTTAGGATTGTGTTGGCTTTTTTGGCTGCCGCTGCACACAGTTGGCTCATATTTCATTGGTTGTCCACTAAGACTCCAAGATCCCTCTTAGTTCCTGCTATTAAGCCTGGTTTCACCCAATCTATATGGGTACTTTTGGTTTTTCTTGGCTTAAGTGTAAGACTTTACTTTTCTCTACATTGAATTTCATTTTGTTAGATAGGGCCCAGTGGGGAAGTCTGTCATGATCCATCTGGATCTTGAGCCTATCATCCCTCAAAGGGAGAGGTCCTGATGGCATCTTCAGAGCCAGATTTTCTTCCTCCTCTCCCCTCCCTTCTTGACTGAACTGGCCAAAACTATTTACATTATTGAGCAGGGTGCCAAATGCCCTTTTTGCCCAACACAAAGACTGTTTTTTATAGTAATACAGGATGATCTATTCAATGTCCTTCTCCGAGATTTGCTATTAATTGTTGACCGCATTCTGTGGTCTTCCCAGGGATCGCATTGGGCCTTCTGCTCTCTTGGCTAAGGTGAGACTCACTCAAATAGAATTGGCTTGGGAAGCATCTATTTTTGATCTCTTACCTAAGCCTAGTCATCCAGATTTCTCAGCAGGCACAAGCCGCACCTTTGGGCCATATGATGTTGTCTTCAGCTTTGTCCTAAGGAACTCCAAAGCTCTGCCTCAGATGCGAGTTGCAAAGGCCACAAAGAAGAGCAAGGATCTGATCATTCCAACTCATTTGTCTTTCTATCTGAAAGTATCTGGTTCCACGATTCCAGCAGAAGAACCTTAATCCAACAATACTGTAGAGATTGGTTGTCCCAAAGGTGCTTTTTCAGGAGGCAACTGGACTTTCTTGTTTTTTCTTTTTGAAGACATTTCACTTCTCATCCAAGAAGCTTCTTCAGCTCTGACAGGATGGTAGAGAATGGAAGGATTTATATTCCTTACAAATAGCTGGTCTTTTGCATCCTTAGAGCGTCCTTGAAGCACTAGGAGGTTTCTCTGTGTCCTCAGGGTGACCTGAGTGGTGCAAATGGTTCCTGTAGTCTGCCATTTTTTCTCTGGAAATCCATTCCTACTCCCACACCATTCACCTGGTGGCTCAGCAGACTAAAAGCATTGTGATTAACACCAGCTGTCTGCAATTACTGTAAGTTCGAATCTCACCAGGCTCAAGGTTGATTCAGCCTTCCATCCTTTCTAAGGTAGGTAAAATGAGGACCCAGTTTGTGGGGGCAATAAGCTGACTTTGTATAAATATACAAAAAGTATGAAGGCTTACATATTGTAAGCCGCCCTGAGTCTCCGGAGAAGGATGGCATATAAATCAATTTTTTTTAAAAAAAAGGATGTTTATCCCAAATTGTATAGCTAAAAGTCTGTAGAGATTCCCAGTCTTCCAGGTTCTGGTTATCCCAAAGGTGCTTTTTCAGGAGGCAACTGGACTTTCTTGTTTTTTTTCTTTTGAAGACATTTCGCTTCTCATCCAAGAAGCTTCTTCAGCTCTGACAGGATAATGGAAGGATTTATATTCTTTTTATACGCTGTCTGTAAAGAATATAAATCCTTCCATTCCCCACTATCCTGTCAGAGCTGAAGAAGCTTCTTGGATGAGACGCGAAACATCTTCAAAAAGAAAAAACAAAACAAGTAAGTCCAGTTGCCTCCTGAAAAAGCACCTTTGGGTTAATGCAACAAGCACTTTGAGGGTGACGTAGTGGGCCTTCTTAGCTCCAGATTATTCTGGAACTGTTTTATTTGTTTCCATTGTTTTGCCCAGCTGCAAACCTTAAGTACAAATGCAGTCTGAACAACTACCAAGTTGTCTTCCATTTCCAAGTCTGCCCCCCAAGGTCAAGGATTTGGCAATTGTCCTTCCCCCTTCGCATCTACCAACCAGAGGGACTTTCCTTTTGAGTATTCTGAGAAGCAGTTCTGTGGCTGCATAATTTTAGTGATAAAATGAAACCTCCCCCAACTGATCTGGCTCACCAGAGAGTCTTCTAAAGCAGGGCTCTCCAACTTTGGCAACTTTAAGCCAGGTGGACTTCAACTCCCAGAATTCCACCAGGCTTAAAGTTGCCAAAGCTGGAGAGCCCTGTTCTAAAGGGAGCCCCTTGTACAGACCACTGGAAGTGTCACTGGAAGAGAAGAATCTGCCTTGCACAAGTTCTTCGGCAGCTCCCCCACCTGACTAAAATGAAATGAAATAAGAGGCAGCAGGGAGGTGACTTGAGATGTTCTGCACAGAAAGGGTTTGATTTTTTTCTGATGTGGTCACTTGGCTGTGAGTGGCAGCAGCAGATGCCAATTTTCACATTCCTTAGACTGCCAGAAGTATTCCAAAGCAACTCTCACCATCAAAATCTCAACTTTTGGCAATTGTACAAGATTTTTTTGGCAGCTGGCAAGGGAAGCCTTCACTCCTCTGGCAGAGCACACGTGCAGACGGTTCCACGGGGAAAGAGCAAACTGGTGAATCAAAACTTATGATATAATAAACATGTATGAAATCACATTCCTCAGCCACCCCCCCTCTCTCTCTCACACACACACACCATTCTCTGTGAATTCCTACACAAACCTAGTCTGGTTTCTGGCCATGCAAAATCCTGGCCAGATAAAAACAGGTATCCCCCAAATCCCAAGAAAAACAACAGCACGCTTGTAACACAACAGCTCCTCCCCATCCCAGGCATAGAAGTGTAATAATAAATAATTTAAAAAACTCATGTTGTGAAGCAAAATGTACCTGGAGCCTGCAGTAGCAGAGAACAGCTATAATGCACAGTAATATGACAGTTGCTAATATTCCGCCGGTGATGACCACAGTCCCCGCGGTCATCCGACCTCTTCCCCATCAACACCTGGAAAGGAAAGCAGAAAGAAGCATGACAAAGGGACCTTCAGGGTGGAGGGATCGGGGGTGGGGCAGGGGTTGCCTGTGGCCATCAGCATACTCCTTCAGCCCCAGACTGCTCCTCCAATCACTGAAATTGCATTTCAGCAACTGCCTATGACAGGGGTGTCAAACTTGAGACCCGGGGGCCAGATCTGGCCCGTGGAGCTGCCCTAGAAACAGCAAAGGACCGGGCCATGGTTCCTCTGCCAGTGAAAACAAAGCTCGGGAAGGCCACGTGTGGCCCTCCCAAGCTCCATTTTCACTTGCAGAGGCCGTCTGCAAGGAGACCGTCACAACGGAAAACGGAGCTCAGGAGCCTGCTTTTGCTGGCAGAGCGCTTGGGTCATTACAGGCCCCCCCGACATGAGTGATGTTTAGCTGGCCCCCCAAGGTCAAACAAAAACCTGATGCGGCCCTCAATGAAATCGAGGTTGACACCCCTGGCCTAAGAGAGCTCGCATCCAGTCGGCCGCCTATGGCAAGAGCTCACTTCCGATGTTTCAGCAGTCTTGTGAAAGGTCTCGCAAACCTGCAGGCACTTTGTGTGAAAATTCCCTTCTGTGATTGCTTGCAAGAATCTGGGCCGATTCCACAACAGGGCTAGGAACCAGAAAGAGTTGGCAGTCCCACATCCCATGGCATCCGAACTGTGATCCCTTGCCCTTTCAAACCCAAGCTTGGACAGTGGCCTTTATGCTGAACTGCAAGGCCATTGTTGATTGGCTGCCACGCCCCAATCCCTGAAGCTGCTCATTTGAACTAGCCAGTCAGCAGCAAGCAGACTGGGCCCAAACTAAGCCAGACCAGACTGGGTAAAAAATAAGCCTGCAGGCCCTCATGGCAGAGAAGCCGAGGTCTTTTATTCAGATGGGGAAAGCTGTTTTCCTTACATCTCATGTTCTTACAACTTCACGGGCTTCTGAATAAAAGACTTTGGCTTCTCTGCCACGTGGCTCAACCTCTTCTGCAGCTCTTCGAAAAGTAAGTACAGTAGGAAATGGGGTGAGGAGGGCAGATCGGGCCCAGGGACTGTTGACCTGGGCCCATACAGGGCATTTCAGTCTGTTCAGTCTGTAACAGACTGAGGGAGTCCTAGGATCGCCCTGTAACAGGCCGTTCATGCTGGCAAACAGGCAAAGGAATGGTCACCAGACAGGCAGGTAGCTGGGCCACGTGGGAGGCTGGGGTGAAAGCAGGCAAGTTGGCTGGGCCGCGGGGGCCACATGGTCAAGGCAAGCGAGCGAGGGAGCGAGGGAGCCAGAGAACAGCAGCTGCTATGCCACGGCCAAGCCAGCGAGGCGAGATAAGAAGGGCCAGCCAGTGGTGTGATTAGCCGGTTCTCCGAACTGCACAAAAAATTTAACAACAGGTTTGTCCAAACCAGTCTAAACCGGCTGGAGCCCACCTCTGCATCCATGGCTCTGGACTGAATGATATAGATTAGCTGACAATGTGCTTGTTTTCCCCATTTGGTTTTCTTTTCTTCTGATTTAATATATTCTAGCTTTGATTTTAAACAAAGCTGCTGTTGAGATGGGCAGCCTTAAAAAATCTTATAAATAAATGATCTATTTCTGAATAGCCTTCTGTTAGACCAAATTATGCCAACTTGATGATGAGCCAGGGCCAATTTAATAGCTAAAATCATGACTTTAAACTTTCCAAGAATTATTTGGCATCACTGAGAAATTGGATAAGCTTTAAATACCTCCCTGCATCTCTTGGCCTAGGGGGAACGTTTCCACCACCAAGGGGAAGCCTCCCCAATTACCCCATGGGGTCCCAAATCTGAGGCTCAAGGCTCCAGGAAAGGCCATGTTTGGTGACCTACTTAAGCTGTTCATTAAACCTTTTCATGAATAAAGGCTGCTAGGCATCACAGAAGCCTTGCTGATCTTTGTAGCACAACTATCTTAGCAGTGAAAGGGCCGGGCACTGGATTCTGTGTAAAGATCCTTCTCTTTAAAATGAAGACTGTTCTTGGGCTCTTTTGAACTCTGCCAAGCCATTTGCTCAAGACCTGCAGTCAAGCCATTCATTGCTGCCCGACCACTCCAGAAGGCAAACGAGAGTGGTGCGATGGCCTAGAGGTGGAACTCTCGCCTCACAATCAGGAGGCTGTGAGTTCGATCCTAGGTAGAGGCAGGTATTTCTCTCTCTGGGCACAATGAGAATATATCTGCTGAACAAAACTCTGCATTGACGACTGGAAGGGCATCTGGCCATTAAATGCTCTGCTAGTTCCATTCAGTTGCCCAGACTTCACCCCACAAGAGGTTATGGGGTTGTTAAATGATGATGATAACTCCAGAAGCAAACAGTTTGACTCTCAGCAGAGCAACTGATAAAGCAACCCTGAACAACAAAAGGGGGGAAGTATTAATGAGCCCCAAACAACCCTCTGATTAATACTTCACAGCAGGAACCAAAGGACTCTTTTGAAATGCTGCCAATTGAAGCAAAGTCTGAGGCCCAGTTGGCAAGAGCAGTGGTTTGTGTGTCCCTTGCAGATGATCTGACTGAGGCAAGATTAGAGACTGCAACTATTTTTCATCCTGTTGTCCAAGCTGAGAAGCTGGAACTGGGGAGAGCATTCAACCCTGCCAGACTCACGTTCATCCAAGGTGCAGCCCAGGGATCTAGTTTCACAATGACTTGGCCCCAAATTCCCTTAGTGTGGTGAAGAGGAGCTGCACAATCTTCTTCCACCCTTTGCTACTGATGAATGCTGTGTGTTTCATATACCAACAAGCAGACACAATGACAACCCTGATCTCCCTGCCCACATTCAGAGTCCAGATCAAGATCAACCCCCGAATCACAGGGAGAGCCTGCCAAGGGTTTAAAGCAATTGTCTGTAAGACAAACATCTGCATGCGATGCTCAGCTTCTTGAAATGCTGCTGAAAAGATGGGGAAAGTAGTGTAATAGCACTTACACTTATACCGCTTCAGTGCTTTACAACCCTCTCTAAGCGGTTACAGAGTCAGCTTCTTGCCCCCAACAATCTGGGTCCTCCCTTTACCCACCTCGGAAGGATGGAAGGCTGAGTCAACCTTGAATTAATGAGAATCAAACTGCTGGCAGTTGGCAGAGTTAGTTGCAATACTGCATTCTAACCACTGTGCCATCAGAGCTGAGAGAGGGAGAGAGAGAGAGAGGGGGGGGGGGGGGGGGGGGGAGGGAGAGGGGGGGGGAGAGAGGGAGGGAGAGAGAGAGAGAGAGAGAGAGAGAGAGAGGTAGCCCTTAGACTTATATGCCGCTTCACAATGCTTTACAGAGTACTTTACAGAGCGCCCTCTAAGAGCTTTAGAGTCAGCATGATTTCTCTCTAATCCACCACATCACATCTCCAATCAACTTTCTCTCTCCAGAGCCAGATATTATTCTCACCAATAGGAATATTTTTATTTTCTTCCTAACAGAGTCCACCTTTTTCATATCAACCAATTGATCCATTGGCTACAACAGGAATGGACTGCCAGCTTGTTACAGCCCATGCGTCTGTTCATGGGCCAAGCAAGAGAGACTGGTCCAAAGTCACCAACCACCTAAGACAGGACTAGAATTCACCTTCTCCTGTTTCTAGCCAGGAGCCTTAATCACTAGAGCAAATTGGCTCTCTACTGAGAACATTCATGCTTGGTCAATTACACAAGAGTAGCAGATGACCTAGCGTGGGTCTCATATGCATCCACCCAGAACCTTTGAGGTATACAAAATACCCCAGACAGCAAAATAAGTTGAAATAGAAGAGGTGCAGATCTCTGACTGCATTGTGCATCCGAAGAAGTGAGTTCTGTCCAATCAAAGCAAAATCTATTCAGTTACTACATCCCAGCTTCACTACTTCACAAAGTAGCTGAAGTTTTGCCAACTGTATGCATTGGGCTCTTACAGAGGAGCTGATTGTCCCAATTCAGGTGGTGGTTCCAATCTTCCCAAGCTCTCCAGCCTAGGACCTGTGTTCAGGAACACAGGGACAGCAGGCCTCACCCTCTGGGGGCTGCTGGGGCTTGTTTAACCTGAAGCCCGAAGGAACCACCAAATGAGGTTGAAGGCTTGGGCTCTGCTAAGGGCAAGTTCTTCTCTTTACACGGAAAGATTCCTTCAAAAGATGAAGACTAGAGAAGAACAGCTTCTTTTGCTCCACAATCAGGCCATCCTCTCCTCCTCACAAGACTCTCTAGCCAAGGTAAATGGGTGGGAAATAATGTCTTTTTTCAGTTAAGCACAGCAAGAGCAAATGGGGGAAGAGAATGTACAGTAACATTTCCTGCACTGACTCTGTAGACCTGGAAGCTTGAAACTTTCTAAAGCCCAAGGGGGTGGGGGGAGGATTCAGAACAGGAGACATTCCATATGGAGACATTCAAAAACAGAATTTCCTGTCTAGACTTTTGGAAAAAACAACAACCCCAGGCTCTTAATTGGGGGCTCTGCAGGCTTCCAGAGTGATTGTGCAACTCCATTGGACATTCGCTCACTGGATTTTGTTCTGGCTCTTGAAGCTAAATGGGCACCCATGTTTTCTCCCACTGTGTCATCCTTTATTGCAGGAGTGTCAAACTCAATTTCATTGGGGGCTGCATCAGCATTATGGTTGCCCACAAAGGGGGCATATGACAACTCACAGCGGCCAGGTGGGCATGGCTGGGTGTGACTGCCAGCTTGTGTGACTAAGTGGGCATGGCTGGGTGGGGTGTGGCTTGGTGGGCATGGCTGGGGGCATAACTCCTTCCATTCCCCACATCCAGTCAGAGCTGAAGAATAGAATAGAATATAATTTTTTATTGGCCAAGTGTGATTGGACACACAAGAAATTTGTCTTGGTGCATATGCTCTCAGTGTACATAAAAGAAAAGATATGTTCATCAAGAATCATAAGGTACAACACTTAATGATAGTCATAGGATACAAATAAGCAATCAGGAAACAATATCAGTATAAATTGTAAGGATACAA